AAAAGAGTTTCTGTCGGTTATTGAATAGACTAGCAACAAGCCATCCGCCCACTGTAAAGTTTCCATCGATGGTTCATCTTCACTCTAAAATGTTAAAAAATTATTAGAGAAACTATTTATATAGATTAATATAAAATGATATACAAATTAATAATAGACTAATAATAATGTATATAATATGTTATATAGATTATTGTATAATAAAATTTTATTAGATACAAAAATTACCTTTGGACACGTATCTAAAATTTCAAAAAGAATTGGTTCCCCATCGACTAGTACCTCATGTTTGTATCTGGTTTCTAGAAATTAAAATAAGACTCGCCCTTAATGCAGATTTATCATAATTATTATTTATAGGATAAATATAAAATTTGACGTAAAAGTAAAATCACGATTCCATTACTTACAACATTTTATAACATGATTTTTTTTTCAAATAAATTTTCAAATTGTTTTTTCTTAAAATTTCTTTAAAATATTTGGTCTGTGAGTGTTCCCAGTAAACAAGCTGACATTATTTGTATCATTTTAACATTAAATGATGTTAAAGACGTCATTTTGATGACAAACGTCAGCTTATTTTTTGAATTCATGTAGAGTCAATTTGATTTAAACTGTTTTTTTCTGAATTTGTAATCAATGTTGCTTGTGTAATTGTGATTTTATTTTAAATTTCGTGTGTGATGTTTCATTCAAACATAACATGAAAAATAAGCGCGACAATAAAAGGATATAAAACATTATATGAATATAAAACATGTTTGCATTATTATCTTACTTTTTATTTCATTCATTAATTTATTTTTCAAACAACTGATAATGTATTCTTTTTCTTTCTTTATAATACATTTTATGTGAGAAATATTCTTCGGACTTCGGACAGAACTGATTCGCAGAGTTAATTCAATGATAAAGAAAAAAATTGAAAATTAATTATTCACTTTGATTATAACATAAACATATGATTTCCATATTTTAATTCTTATTTTGTTTTAAAAAAAAGAATTGTTCTAATTGCTCGCAAATTTGAATGAATTGAAAAGATTTAACGATTATCTGTAACTTTCTACCACGCAAATATTTAACAATTTCTCTCGGATCAAATTTACTTTGAGACGCTAACATGACACGTGCTTTCCTTCTGTCTACGATCGTGTCTGCAATGTATTTCTACAAAACGAAAAGTTTTGTTTGAGTATCAACCTCGCATTAGTACCCGTCCTGTCTAGTGTCAAATTCGTCTTCGATAAATTTAGAACGGACGCGAACTGAGGTATGCAGAGGGAGAATATACGCAGCTTTAGAAGAGGATTACAGTTGCTGGCAATTTTTCAAACTGACGCGTTATTCCATTATATATACTTTGCCACGCGTATGTACGTCAATTTTGTAAGCGAGTCAATAAAAAATCAGCAACAGATATTGACGTTACAATATATTAAATTCCACCTTTTTATAAACAACAGTACTTTTAATATTTAAAATAAGTAATTAATTACTGTCTTTCAGTATTAGATATAAAAAAATTCAGTACAATCATTTTTAAGGTGTGACAATTGAAGATATATTTAGATATTATGATTCGATTTGATTTAATTGTAATGTTACGTTATCTTTATGGTATTAATGAGTTCGCAGAACGAAGGGCAAAACAAAAACACGTCGATAGCTTGTTCATTGAATCGATATGTAATAAAAACGTACATTTATTTTATAATATTTTAAATATAATATTTTATAACGACAACAAATTTTGATGTGTGTCATTTTGTTATCGAATATGTATACAAGGTCGGACGTTGCTATACCGAGTCATTGTATTGTCATTCTCACAACAATGATCGAATGGGCAGGTAGTGCTGCGAGCTGTTCCGTATATTGCGTTCAAACTAACAAAGCAGCTAGCCTGTTCATCGAGCAATTGAACATGATTGGGGTTCTTAATTACTTATGAATCCAATCAATCACATTGAACCGCTTGGCGAGCAAACAGTTACTTCGTCCGTTTGAATATGATCACATTGTTTCGGTTTCTCTCTCGAAATATAACCAATTATTTCTTACTAATAATCCGATTATCTATGTTATATTTGTCTGCGTAATTAATGTCTACTAATATTTTATAGATCAAATATTTGACACTTTGTTTGCTTGAAAGAACAGTCAAAGTTATGGATTAAAGTCGTAATCATAGATTATTTTTTTTTTATCATAATATATTTATTCGTGATAATTATTCTCATAACAATTTAAATACCTTTTGCATCACACAGTGAGTGCAAAATTCGTAGAAAGATAAAATGTTTTTTTAAAAAAACTTTATTTTAAAAGTAAATATTATCCAGCGAAAAATGAGTCATCGAACTGATATCGAATTGATATCGATACGATGATTTCAACATCAATTTGACATCGATTGAACATTTAATTGACAATCATTTCTTGCTGGGTAATTAATAATTTATTCATAAAAAATAAAATAGACTGTATGTTTCATAAAATTATATATACCAAAAAAATGTGTTTTAATTATAGAAAACATATCTGTAAAATTAGCGAGAATTAAAAATTGTATTGTTTGGATGTTCAAAAAATATTCGTACAGTCGAGAAATTTAGCTTCTAAAATCAGAAATATGTGCAAAATTCATTTGTTTATGTTACAACAGAATATATTCATTGTATAATATGAAATTGCTAATTAACGTTTATTTTTTAAAAATAAAACTTTTTTTATAAAAAATTTCCTTGTACGCATACTTTTTGCTCTCACTGTATATAAAATGCGCGAAATAAAATCATCTACATCGGTTCGAATGATTCATTAATAGAAAACAGATACATCGATTGATTAATAAAAAATAAATATATTTCATGTATTATTTACAAGTTTAGTATTGTATATTCGATATTGAATTTTGATTGTATATTTCTTAAATGACTTAATGAATCTTATTTGCTTTAAATTAAATTTATTGATGCGTAATATTCAACAGTATAAAAAAAATGGTTAACGCAATCTTAATAATTTTCGAAGTTAAAATATTGCGATAATAGAACTAAAATATAGGGAGCGACAATTTGACATATTCGGTTTAGTTTGTAATACTTTGAATATTTTACAACGACGACGAACTAAAGCAGTATCTAGTATTTTAAGGCATAAAACTTAATTAGCTTTAAGTTCAAGCCATAAGAAATTAGCAATTACAGTCAAATGTGAAAATAATAGTCGACTATTGTATATGTATGGCCAATTCTTACGGCTTAAGACTTAAAACTTATGGGCATTTTTCAGCAAAAGATGACGACACAGTGTAATATAGTGAATCACTACATCTTTATTGTTTGCCGACTCTCTAAATTCTTTGAAATAAATTGAACTAATCTTGAAAAAAGTAGTATCATTTTCAATTTTTAAGCGTGAGATTTTATTCTTTATAGTGAGATTTATTTTAAAAGTTTTAGAGAGATTGTTAAACAAAGATAAAATGATCACTATGTTATACTGTATCTCTTGTTAAAAAACGATATTATAATATTATCAATTAACAGAAATTCGGTATTCGTATATCAACCTTTGTTGCTAAATTATATGTTTCGAGACGGTCAAATGTAATTTAAGGCGTGCTAACAGTCGGTAATCGTTTCTTCAAATACTGTATTTCATAGATAATATTTTTTAACTCGTATGTGCGTTGATTTACTTGTGTTATAACATATGAGGAGTAATCGCACTAAACCGCGGAAGAATTATTATTTAAAGTACAGGTGCACGAAAGTGCATGAAGCAGCATTGGATTGCCGGCAGCGGATGCCGTGCCGGCCGCGTGTTTGAAGAATTAGTTCCACCATTTTGACTCGTTCACTTGTTTACTCCGCGCGACGTCGCAGGTAACAAACGCATCGTAGTATCATCCGCACGTAGTTCCTTCACTTTATTCCTCTGCCGAAACGTAACAGTGAGCGTATACTTGTTTGTAATACATTTGATTAACGGGAGTGCCGTACAGAGTTTCGTGCGAGTGTCGTAATTTGATGATTATCGGGCGTCCCCCTAACCGTCTTTTGCGAATGAGTTCAACATATGGAGTGTTGTGTAAAGTATCTCGCGATTGTCTTTATTGTTCTAATTGGTAATCGTAATTAGTCATGTTTCGTGAACGAGTGTTGTGTGTGAGCCTCGGTACCATGTTGCCATGAAGAAGCGACCGAACGACACGAAAGGAGGAGCAGGCCTGGGAGATATCGGGCGTCGATGGAGCAACTACAGGTGAGTAATAATTTCTTAGACTTATTATTTACGTAATTAATCATATTTGTTTCCATGATAATCGTATGGCATTTCCGTGCGTTAATGCATGATACATAATATATTTGTAATGTTATTCATTGTATGTTATACAAATGTGTATGTACATCTTAAATCCGATCTTCTCGATAAGAGAACAAGACAAGAGAACAAACAAACGTGAATAAACATAACTTAAATATTTCTAAAACGATACTATTTGCATTTATTTAAATAAGTTGTTCGTTTATTTGTGCCTGCTTATATTGTCCGGCTTTAAATACATGTATGTATATGCACAAAGAATATACATATAAATATATTTTAAAATTTTTAACGATTTAATAACTTGAAAATAAAATAAATCTATTATTCTTTAAATTTTTTTTTTAGAAAATTTAATTCTTATGAAAGTAGATTTTTTCAGAAATTACAGTTATTTTGTTAAATTTTTTATTTGGAAAAAATAAATAAGAATCTGTAATTATTTTAGAAATATTAATTATTCGAGTATAATTTTATTTATCTAATTCTGAATATATTTCTGTTTCAGATATAATGTTCGTGTTACAACTCCACTGCAGCGTATCGTATCTATAAGTTAATTATTTTTTATTTTCATTTTATTTTAATATAGTAAAATTATGTGAAACGGATCTAAAAATTATTTTTAATATACTTACATATATATATATATATATATATATATATACTCTGATATGTAAAATATCAGAAAAAAATGAAAGATTAAAAATCTCTTTTCAATACTTTTTATTTGAAAGATCTATTATCTTAAAATGAATAGCTAGCATATTAGGAAAAAGGATAAAAGGTAGAAAATACGTATTTTCCAAATACAGCAACTTTATAAAAAATAATAAATAATGAAGGATGTAGCAAATAATAATTAACATTTATTTTTAAATATTCAGTTTAAAAAATTTGCATTCGATAATTTAGTTTGAAGTTTTTTATGTTACATTTTTGCTATATATAGTAATAGACTTAATTCATTTACGTTAATATCTATGGCTTGGTAATACGACAATTTTGCGTGTATATAAATTGTGATGATGCAACGTAACCAAAACAGTAGATTGTATTAAGTCATGAATGAAACTAAGAACAAAAATATTTGTGTACTAGTTTTAGTTTAATGTCCAATAAATCAGTTACTATATATCGACATTCGATTCGCATTAGAATGATAGCATTGGTAACTGCGTATTTGTTATAGTCATTAGGTATGCGTTAAATGTATGTTTCCAATTATCGTAGTGAAGTATAGGTCGTAGAGAAGAGAAAATAAAAGACGGAACGAAAGTATAGCAGGAGGTACAAAAGAATATCAAAGAGAGAAAATGTGTTACTCATATGTATCATAACAATATTCGAATAGTGTCAGGTTTCACACGAACAATTGTTTTGCTTCTCAACTGAGTACACTCTCAATTAATTTTTAACTTAAACGTGACTTTCGGATCATTTGCATGTCTCAAAATTCATAGGGTACTTCTCACCTAATAGATTTTTGAAATTTCAAATAACTATGAGGCTAAGACTTTTCTCACCTGATTGATGATCGTATTCTCCGATGTATCTCCTTGTCAGAAATCTCACTGTCAATGCTGAAACATAATAAAAATATCTACTGCATGTGTGTATAGTTCAAGCATGACATAATTATGTTGTACGTGATATAATTGAGTTGGCAAACTATAATGACAGGCTATTCACGCAACGTCGCGTTTCGAATTCGTATGCATCGCGGTGATCTACATTTCGTTCGTTTGTTACAGTCGTATCTATTTATGCAAGAGAAAATCAACACGAAAATACTATTCTCTCGATGTCAGAATTATGCGCTAAATCACATCTAATATTTAACTATATTTTTTAATGAAGTTAAAACTAAAAATATAAAAATATAAAAATTTAATAATTGAATCTACATATAATTAGTCCTGTATGATTGTTTCTATACGCAGTGGAAGTTCATAAATGAATTATTATATTAAATTATTAAATTATATTTTGTGTTATATACATTCATATAATTATATAATTATATATTATTTATTTATATTTAATATTTATAAGGTGTACTTATATAAATGGCCATCTCTTATACAAGTATACGAACAACTGTCTGGCGCGTCGTA